AAAGTTTTACTATGTGAAAAATCTATGACAGTTGCCTATATATATCAAAGATAACCACAAAGAAGATAAAATGATAGAAATATACTGATGATCTATATGCCACATATCAAGTTATACATGGAAAGAATCTTCACGGGAATGAACTTTACTATAATAAGCAACAAAATTAATATTAAAAATATAAAATGAACACATTCATTTTAAAAGGTCAACAGTTTCTCTCAATTTCACTTTAAAGTGAATTTCTTACTCATGAAAATAAATATAGCAAAGAAAACACTACCTCGGTTCATTTGCAAATTTTAACTACTAGTACGGTTATAAATATAAATGCAGTATCATTCTCTAAAGTCTTTAGGGCATCTTATTTGTTGGTACACATAATATGTAGCCTTTGATTATAGGTCTGTAAGCCTATAATTTACTTGAACTCTGATCTCAAGGTCACAAACAAATCAAATAATAGCTACTGCTTCACTATATATATATATATATATATATGTATGTCTTCTTGCTGGATTGTCTAGAACACATGGGAAAATGAATTAACAAGAAGCTATGTTCAAGGGGTTGGCAGGTGTTGCGTGGTGGTTGAGGCGCTGGACTCCCACATGGGCAACTACAGTTTGAGTGCCAGACCTGGTGACTTCCTTTCTCATTCTCCCTTTCTGTCTGTCTCTCTCTGGTCGAAATTGAAAAATGATAATAAATAAAATTTAAAATAAGTAAATCTTTTGGAAAAAAAGCTATGTTCAAGAAATAGTGCTGAAAGCTATTCATAAGCAAATTATGTAGTCATAGAACATGTCCTGTCCCAAGTTAAAAAAACCTATTTCTAGATGCTGAACAGAAGAAAATTTTGACTTTAAAATCCATTTTCTTCTTTAATTCTATTCTCAGCTTAAAAACTATATACTTGTGGTAACACAACTGGACCCACAGGGTGAAGACCTGGGTTTTCATCCCTGAACATGCTGGCATTACACACATGCCCATGATCCAAACAGGCTAAGACTGGTGTGGAGCACGGTGTGGGGACCATATTACGGGGTACCTGTTTCTCTGTATATCTCTCTGTCTCCTTCTCTCATGGAAGAAGTAAATAAATAAACTTTAATAATTAGAAAATTAAAAACATATAAGACAATTTTATGAGCTGGGAATTATGTTTCTCCAAAAGATATGATCAAGTTATAAACCCGAGTACTTATCAATGTGACCTTACTTGGAAGTAAAGTTTTTTACAGATGTAATCAAGTTAAGATGAGGTCATGCTGAATTACAGTGGGCACCACTGTGATATGATTATGTCCTTATAATTTGAGGAGAAAGATAGACACAAAGAGAGAATGCCATGTGATAATGGAGGTAGGGCTGGAAGAGATGTACCTATATGTCACAGGAAAGCAAGAAGCACGGAATATATTCTCCCCTCAGGATTTCCACTGAAGGGCATGTCACTGCCTACAATTTGATTTTGGACTTCTAACCTCCAGAACTGTGAGAGGATATATTTATGTTATTTTAAGACACAGTTTATGGTAATATGTTACAGCAGACTTATGAACTAGTACATAGAATAATTTGCTAGTTTACTTTGTTTTTCTAGGGGGAATATCAAATCAGTTCATCAGGCTAAATAAACATCTGATCAATTAATACATAAAAGATATTTAATCCCAAGGAAGAAGGTTCTTTGAATCACTCTGCCCTTTAAATAGAACATTTATCCAAATTGTGATTGACATAAAGTTAAAATTTGAGGACAGGTAGTGAGTCAATTAACACTGAAAACTTTCTTACAAAATTTATAATGTACAGTTTTGGTGAGACTTAGGTTAATAACAACTAGCACAATTTTTAATGATGGTTTCTATGTAAATTTCATTTTCACATTTTAAAAAATGAACTTTAAACTGCTAAAGGGTTGGAACACTTCAATGGAAAAAGAATTGGGTTGCAGTACAACAGATAAAATGACGTAGCAGAAATTTTCATATCACATGTAGTAGTTTGCTCTATGCTGTTGCAAGGCAGGATGAGGCCACATGAGAGGTCGGAGATCAATTCCCAGCCCACCCTTGAAGCTGGGCATGCATACCTATGATCATAAACTGTTCAGGAGGCAGAAACAGGAGGATTGCAAATTTGTGTTCATTGTAGGCAAAACAGTAAAACTTTCTGAAGGAGCAAGGTGTTGTAATGTGCATTTGTAATCTCAACGACTTAGAAGACTGAGGGGAGGATTACAACACAGTGAAATGCTCTTTAAAAATTTCTCTCTCATACGCACAAAAATCTGACATGCATATAATGGGTAAATTAGTTATGTTTTTAAAGAGTTGGGCTTACTATGAGGAAACCTGTTTTCAATTATTTTGAAAAAGAATAGTAGCTATATTGCCCATTTGTTGAATTATATGTTAGACAAGTGCTAAGTACCTAAACTTCTAATTTATGCTATCTATCCCACTTAGTCATCACAATCACATTATTAGCACCCATATTTTATTAAAGATGTACAAATTGGTGGTCAAAGGAAATCAGTATTTTGTTCACAAGGACACAGCTGGTGGGTGGCAGAGTTGTAGTGAATACGTCCATGTTAATCTGTTCTGTGAATTCGTGCTCCTGTATCCCACCTGTATCCCAGGTTTACAAATCACATACCTGCATTATTCTAACTGCTTTTCTAATCCCTAAAAACTTTTATTACTATGACTTGCAAATAATCCTACAAGTCTAGAAGATAAATGAAATAGTGTTTTAGATTAGAATGATCAATATTTATTAATGACATTGTCATAATTAGAATGAAATTAATTAAAAACAAAGGGCTAGGTTCTTAATATAACATGGGAGAAATATAAAATTAAAGCTATCTAATGTGCATGTGTGGCAGTGATTAAAGAATAACCGAAGCTGGAAATGAGGTCTACTATGTGGATGAGTTAAAACAGAAAGTATTAGAGTACAGCAATGGGCTGCTAATGGGGAAACATGGTTTATGGGAACTATCTGACTAGGTAAGTAATATTTAATTTTTAGTATTTAAAAAATACTTATGTGGATTATATCAAACTAAGAAAAGGTTTAAATAATGTTACAGTATAACTCTGGGAAA